GTCCACCACCATCCGCACACTCTTCTTAGCTTTAAATATCTGCTTATACTTAACTAGTATATAATAATAATACTATACTACTCATTGTCCGAGATTTGTATTCTATAGATCGAAATACTCCGAATAACATTCTACTTCAGAATGTGAAATTAAAATCGTTACATTCTGTCGTTCAAAGGAGTTAAAAACTTGTGATCGTTTTGACTTGAAATCGGGTGTGAGAAGCATAATGATAAAAAAATAAAATAAAAAACGTCGGTATGCCGGTCTTTCGTTAAACGGATCACACCGTTACCTATATATACAACTACGGCGAAAACACAGCGATTGTCACGGTCACCTCGTCGTCGTCGGCGCCGGACGTGGCGGGCTGACACAACGTAACGGTTGTTGAGCCAGCTGTGCCGACGACCGGTGGAGGTAGAGTGGTGGTGGTGGTGGAGCTTTTTGCCGCCGCCGCTGCTGCTCCCTTCGGATTTCCAGTAAATTGGCCGCAGCCGTTCGCGTTCGCGCGCTCGCCGTCCCTCGTATAGCATTTGTTTCGCGCGCGTTCTGTCGTTCGCTCGTTCGTTCGTCCTTATTATTTGAACTTATTAATATTGCCGCCGCGTTACGTTCACCTTCCACCCCCCCCAAATCCCACCAAAAACACCACCACCCCACGAGTCCGCAGAATACTACAACTTACTACTACCTACTACTACTATACTCGCGCTGCTGTCTCCTCGGTTTCCTCGTCTCCGGGGTGAGTATGTAATATACATATAGAAATAACGCACGCAGCTGCTGCTGTTTTTCGTATAATATGTTAAATACTTAAAATATACGCTTAAACTAAAACTCGCGGCTTAAACTGCAGTTAAACCGTAATCAAATACTGACACGACCCGCACGTGATGCATTAAGTAGATGTATGGTAATATTATTAATTATAATATAATGCTGCTGTCTGTGATTAATATTAAATAATGCCATCAGTGGATTTATATCCAGTTGTCTCAATAACTCCGTTAAATGTAATGATTACACACGTCATATTTTTAACACGACCATTCGAKAAGTTTTCACCAAATATAGGTATAGAATTGTATTCAATTCTAACAAATATTTGTATTTTTTGTAACCAATTACAAACCCTTTACAACCAAACCAAATGTTTGTTTTTCCCAAAATCCCAGTGTGAGTCCTTTTTTAAAATTCAAATTTTCGAAAATTGGCTTCGAAACGTAAATCTTTGGGTATAGGAAACCCATATATGTGCTTTGTAGCTAATTTCAAAACCAAGCATCAGTGCGATACACACGGCTGTGAAAACCTTACACATACACACGCGCGTGCGCGGGACCTTTTATTAATATTTAGATAATTTAAACATTTTGGCGATGTCGATGTACTATAATACCAGATATGACATCATATTTACGTATCGATCACAGCAAAAATTTACGCACATAGGTATTTAAGTTAATATTATTACATTTATAGTTTGAAATATTAATATTTAATACACGGCAAGAATGATTCATATGGATTAATAAAATATAATTGATATAATTGATTAATTAATTTTGGAAAATGTTTATATAATTAGGTGCCTATGAAATATAAAACAATACATGTATTAAATTCGTGTAATCTGTAGTCACACTATCTATGCCAGGATTTACTTTTCTAAAACAAATTATATAAAATCATGCTATAATAATCATAATTGATACAATAGTTTATATTTAATTTTATATTCATAATGCTAAGACTCAACTTAGATTTTTTTTAAAGTATTGCATTAATTAAAACCTTTTTACTGACTTTCAAAAAAAAATGTAATCATTTATTTTTAAACCTATACCTGTCCTATCAATAGTTGAAAACTGCTTGTACATCACAATAGACATTGTATGAAACGAGCATTAGCAAATATTCAATAGTTCGTAATGTTCGTATCGTCGACATTGTTTAGTAATTGTTATTTGTTAATACTATTCATAATGTATAAATATTATATATATTATCGCAATATTACTCGAATTRTATACATAGTTATTTATACCAAATACCATTACATATTAATACGAACGAAAAATGTGCGTTGTTTCCCGCGCTGTAAATACAATACATTTAGATTTAACTATCTGTAGGTAATAGTGTAATTAATGTACGCGAACGTTCTGTAATAGRGTCAATATTGAACTACGACCAGTTTTCCTCACTTCCATTTGTGTGTGCAATATAATAAAAAGGAAACCAATATTGTTACACGCTTACATCACCTTTACGGGTACTGCYTACGACTTGATAAATATAAGTTCGAAAAGCTCTGTAAGAGTGCACCGATGGCCTAACGCGTAAGTTAGCAACGACTCGCTCGAACCATTATAAAATATTGAGAATTATTATAGACGTTAAATAATATGATTTTATACAATTTGTTCAGTCAAAGCGAAGTAAAAGTCTGTTTTGTTTTTAATGGTAAATCGTTTTAATGGTGCATATCA